TGAAATATACATGGACAGAAGGCATAAGAGCTGGACAAGGGAGCCTTGAGTATCCCCAGGATAAAAGAGGAAAGGGTGGGGAGGAGTACAAAATATATTAAGCATATTTTCATGTTGGAGAGGTGTTAACAATAAGTAAAAATTGTGAAACTAAGGTGCTTCTTGGGAAAACATTACTAGTATTAAATTCTCATGGAAACTTCATTTCCTTTTTGTGGAACCATGTGGGACCATACAGAATGTTATAGTCACCACCATAAAAGTTGATATCCTTGCAATCTGTTTTTTCCACTTGGTCCATTTTTCTTGTTATCTTAACTGCTGTCCAGATTTCCTCAGTGATGTTAACGCTTATCTTAATGGTCTTTACCATTCATCTCCTACCACTCTCCTTGAAGTCTTCAGTGATTATATTCACTGCCCCAAGCTCCCATCTCCCCCATACCTCAAAAATGGAATACCTCAATTCCAACAACCTCCTCCATTCCACTTCAGTTACACACTGGCATGGTTAAACCTTAGACATTACCATTTTATAGAACTGCATCATTTCTAACATCCTAAGTTTCAAAATTACCTTCTTTAGCCACCTCTCCCACTAAACTTGCCCTTGCATTAATTATAAATCTGGATTCCATGATCAGTCTTCTCTAGATTTGCTTCACTTGTCTTTATACCAAATCTTGAACCTATGACCAAAGATTTCAATAATTCATTAGTCTCTACCTAGAATCCCTGATCTCCTAGACCTTGGCAGGTCAGGAATGACAAACCCTCAATTCTAAGTACCCTTTATCCTTCCAATTCTTCCATTTGGTTATTGAATTTCATTAGAAAGTATCATGTCATTTACCTACTCTAAATTAACGGCTGATAACTTAAGACTTTCTTCACTGGTGCACGGTATCCCTTCCTATCTACTTTTTATTCTCCACAGCAACTGTTACAGCACTTTCCCCCCGCTCCAACCCTCAACTTTGCCTTTGCTGCTACCACTACCACCACCACCACTCATCCTGACACAGCAAAGAATTAGTGGAGCAGGAGATTAAGATTGGAGACACTCAACAATATTTCCATTCTCAAAACTCACAGGCGTTCTCATTCATTTTCTTCTATCTTAGAATACTTGTAAGTTCCCCCACACACCCTACTCCTTACTAAAACTAGTCCTTCTACCTATATATTTGATCTTGTCTGTCTCTCTTGTCACATCTAGAACCTTGTTCCAGTAAGCATTCTTTTCTTATGCATCATCAATTTCTTCTTTCCAGTTCCTCCATCAACCAACATACCTGATCGGGCAGCTCTCTGTTACCTCTAGAGTTAAATACAAAATCTTGTTTGCCATTTAAAGGCCTCAAAAACCTGACTCCAACTTACCTTTCTAGCCTAATCAAGGCTGTGCTGGTAAATAATTAACAATCAGCTCTCAAAAAAATGTACCCACAATAAACTTTTAGGTTCAACCTGCATTATTAACATTTTCTCCATCACTTTACTAAGTCTAGATAATCAACAAAACATTAAATCAAGCCCAGCATTTGCTGGCTTCCAAGGGGTTTCTGATGCTCACTGTACAGTTTTTCAAGATGGCTCCAGCATAACCCTAAGCCTTATTGTACCTTATTTCGTTTTACAAACTTGATGGTTTGAAATGGATGACCTGAATTCAGCATTCCATGTTCCATCTTTATGCCATTGTATATGCTATCCCCTGTTCTAGGAGTGCAATCCTTCTTCACCTGTCTCTTAGAACTCCTCATTTTTTTCAAAGCTCAATTGAAATACCATCTTCTATGAGGTGTTTTTCTTGATTCCCTCTACAACTAGTACCTTCCATTGTCTCCCCCCCTCAAAAAAAATAACTTGTGTTTATTTTCTATGTACTTATTTGTGTATCTTTTCTCTCTCCTCCTCCCACACCAATATAAACTCCTTGAGGTCAGTGATTGCCTTTTTTTGTCTTTTTGTCCCCAGCATCTAGCGCATAGTGGGCACTTAATGAATGCTTGTGGATTACCCCCCCATAAAAACAAAATCTACTTGATGATACCCTTCCCTACTAGAAGGGTATTATCTTAAATACCCTCTTTAAAGTATTAAAAGTACCAAATCTTAAAAGTAACCAACCACCCAGCTGCCAAATCCAAAGACCTTTATTCAGTTCTCATCCTCCTTGACCTCCCTGAACCAGGACATAATTGACCAGTTTTTCTTCCTCCTGGATACTTTCTTCTCCCTTGACTGACTCTACATTTTATTGGTTTCACTCTTTATGGCTCCTGGTCTTCAGCCTGACTCACGAGATTTAGAGCTAAAAAGCAACTTTAAAGGTCACCTAGGCCATCTCCTCATTTTACATTTTACAGGGCGGGGGAACCTAAGTCCCAGAGAAGTTAAGTGACTTGCCCCAGGTCACACAGAAGTCATAGATGAGATGTGAACCAAAGTCTTCTGATTCCAGAGCTAGTGATCTTTCTACAATGCTACATTGCCTAATACATGAACATTCCACTGGAATTTCAAACTTAGCATGCCTAAAAGCCAATCTTAGCTTCTCTACAATCTGTTCTATCTAGGGTACAGTTGAAAACTTATTTGACTATGAAGTCAGAGGACCTGGGTTTAAATCTAGCCTTTGATGCTTACTATGTGTGTGACCTTGGGCAAGTCCCTGGGCCTCAGTTTCCTCATCTGTAAAGAGAAAGAGAGAGAGAGTTGGACTATATGGTTTCTGAGGTTCTTTCCAGCTCTAAATCTATGATCTTATTTTATTCAATGGCATTACCATTAAACTTGTGGGCAGCTAGGTGTTGAAGTGGATAGAGTGCCAGGCCTGAAGACAGGAAGACTCATCTTCCTGAGTTTAAATCTGGCCTCAGACACTTACTAGCTGTGTGCCCCTGGGCAAGTCGCCTAACCCTGATTGCCTCACCAAAAAAGAAAAAAATCCCAGCTCAAGTCGGTATTCTGCAGGAATCTTTTCCCAGTCTTCCCCTACCACCTTTAAATGCTAGAGATTTACTCTGTAAAGAAACCTTATATCTATTCTGAATATATCTTGTATATTCTTCTTTACATACATATTTTCCCCTCCTTAAGAATATAAGCTCCTTGAGGGTAGATAATAAGTGTTTAATAAATACTTGTTCATAGATGAGAGAGAGAGAGCACACAAAAAGATAATTATCAAGTTCTAACAATCTTGTCTTCAATATTTTTTCCATTTCTGCCACTACTATCCTAGTGTAGATCCTCTACCACTCATTTGGATTTTGCAATAATCTTGAGGTAGGCTTCCTTCCTTGACTTTGTTCCCTTCTTTGTTAAATTCTTGCCCATCCTTTAAGGTTAATCTCAAATGTTACCACCTCCTTCATGAGGTGGTCTTCCCAGATCCCCCCAGTTGGTAATAGCCTCTCTCTTATTTGTACCTTTATAATGCACTAATAAAAATATCTGTGTGCTTATTATTCAAAGGATCCTAGGCCTAGAGTTGGAAGGGACCACAGAAATCCCCTAGTTTAAGCCCCTTATGTTATAGATGAGAACCAAGGAGATTCTGATTTGCCCAAGGTCTTAAGGTAGTAAATATAAACTGATTAATCAATCAAAATTTATTAAGCATTTGCTCTGTTCCAGATGGATGTTTGGTAGGGTCTGAAGGAAAGAAGAGGGTGAGAAGAGGTATTAGGCGGCCTAAGAAACTGAAGGACCGCAGAGCTATCGTGCTGACCTTGTTTTGTATGCCTGTGAAACCTGGACAGTATACCAGTCCTATGCTAGGAAACTGAATTGCTTTCATTTGAATTGTCTTAGGAAGATTCTGAAGATCACCTGGCAAGATAAAGTACCAGACACTGAGGTCCTTTCTTGAGCTGAACTGCCAGTCATTCAGAGATTGGGTGGCCAAGTTGTTCAAACGCCAAAAGTTGTTGTTGTTGTTGTTGTTTGTCCTTTGTTCTTGAAGAGGACCATGACATCAGGAAGGTGATGCCATGACTTGCAAGTGAATTGAATTTAAGTGAGGGAGGGCTGTGTTATGAGGTAGGGCTGTGTTAGATCACCAGCCTCACTTTCTCCTTCAGAGCCATCTGAGTCCAGTAGTAAGATATAGATCAGGATGACTAGAGATGGCCCCCAAATGCCAAAAGTACATTTGCCTAAAAGACTATTTTATAGAGAACTCTCACAAGGCAAGAGTTTATGTGGAGGTCAGAAGAAGCGATACAAGCATACTTTCGAGGTCTCTCTGAGACCTTTGGAATAGATTGTGAGGCATGGGAGACACAGGACCACACAGCATAGCATGCCTGAATCAAAGAAGGGTCTGCGCTCTATGAGCAAAGCAGAATTGCAGTTGCTCAAAAGAAATGTGAGATGTGCAAATTTAGAGAATCCACCCAAATGTTCACATGGACTATTTGTATCTGACTTGTATAGCCTTCCAAGCTTCTATTGGTCTGATCAGCCACGGTTGGACACACTGACACCAACACATGATGGCATTTTGGTCCTCTCTGAGCACAAGGGACAATAATTAACCAACTAACTCTGTGTCAGCCATTGTGCTAGGCATTAAGGATACAAATAAATGCCTAATTTCCACAAAAAGAAGGATTATGTCTTATTTAAACTGTATTCCTTCCATACATTTTGTCCAGCAGATACTTAATGTTAAAAATCTCCCCTAGGACAAATTAGTTAGCAAGTACAGTCATCATGCTCTTTATCAAGCAGTCCACGTGGCAACCAAGCTCCTGTATTTAATTGAGCTAAGCAATTGACAAATTCACTCAATTTGCCAATGAGGACCTAAGCTTGTAGAGTTTATAGCAGGAAGGGGCCATCTAAGATACCACTACCTTCATTTTATGGAAGAGGGAAAAGAAAAAAACCCTGAAGTCAAGTGACTTTACAAAGTCAAATGGGTAATATATTTAAGCAGAACCAGAATTTGAACCCAGGCCGTCTGACTCTAATTTCAGGACTCTTACCACCTCTCACTCCCTGCTTCCTACCATAGCTACCTATTACGAGTGGTGAGTATGTGTACTCAAATTCTAAAATACATATCTCAGAAAAGTAATTCCCAAATAAGGTTCAAGGAAGCTTGAAAGATCAAGCTATTATTGTGAAATTGTAATGCCTTGATTTTATCTAGTCCACCAAGCTCCTTTATTAGAGAGCACAGTTTTTTCTTCTCCCCTAGTTTCTCTGCAGCCTGTGGGCAAGACAGAACATGAATAAGTATCTTGTTGAGGAGGAAAACCACCCTTTATTGGTATTTCAGTAGAAATAGTAAATTATCTGGTCAGGGAGAATTCAATTAGGGAAATTCTAGTTAAATCTTAAAGAAAAGAAAGAAAACTACAATTCTCTTTATTGCTAGCATAATTTGAGGCAGCTAGGTGGCATAGTGGGTAGATTGCCAGACTTGGAGTTTGGAAGACCTGGCTCAGTTCAAATCCTACCTTAGACACATACTATCTGGGTGACCCTGGGCAAGTCAATTAAACTCTCTCAGCCTCAGTTTCCTCATCTAAAGTAAATGGAATTTATGGCCTTTAAAATTCCTTCTAAAGCCCTCTGAGTCTATGATCCTGTAAATTAGATCAAGAGTCCTAGACTAGGGTATAGCCATTATCAATGCTCATCTTTGCCAGATCTGTTATTTAAAGTCACATGATTATACTAGCCAGAAATTAGCTATGAAAAGGCAGAGTGCCGGTGATTTGTTGTAGCTTGCAAGCTAAGACTTTGAAGGGACTTGTTAACTCAAAGGCTAACAAATAAGGCCAAGCAAGTGTGGGGAAAATGTTCTAAAACTGAAGTAAGCGAATAGTAAGGAACAAGTGAGGAATATTACAAAAGAATAATCAAAAGGACTTGGCAACTGAATGTTATGGGGAGGAGAGGAAAGAACTAAGTCTAAGTCTGTCTTCCAAGATCCCCAGATTCTGATTAAAGGGAGAATGAGTAATGAAAATAGGAAAGCCCACATGAAAAGATGGTTTTGGAGGATAGATGGAGTTATGTTTTAGATGTTAACGTGTGATATGTCTCCCCAAATCTTGAAGCAGGTACTGTTTGCAAAATGGAGTTTAAACAAACATACTCATGCCAAGATATTCAAGTTAACAGGATAGAATTAAAGTCCAGTTTTAAGTAAAACACATTCCTCATTCCTCCCACCTCTAGATCCTTTTAGTTTATACGACATGTTCCATGTTCCGTGTTCCATGTTCCATTTAAGATTGACATATTATCCTGAGTGACTCATTTGAAAATACAGATCCACTTAATGTATAAAATTAAAAGTAATAATGTTGCGCTTCAGTTGTATCTAACTCTTCATGACCCCCTTTTAGGGGGTAGTAGTGCATTTCTTGGCAAAGATACCAGAATGGTTTGCTATTCACTTCTCCAGCTCATTTTAGAAGATGAGTAACTGAAGCAAACAGGGTTAAATGACTTGTCCATGGTCACACAGCTAGTAAGTATCTGAAACTGAATTTGAACTCAGGAAGATCGGTCATCCTGGCTTCAGACCTGACACTCTATCCATTGTGCCACCTAGCCAGTCCAACAATAATAATAATGGCTAGATCTAGAAATCTATTTTTAAGTACTTCCCTTACATGGTTGTTTAATAACAATAATAATAGCTAGCATTTATATAACTTTTAAGGCTTACAAAGAATTTTACATATATTATTCATTTGATCCTCACAACAACCTTGTAAGTGAGGTGCTAAAAAAAAAACCCAACAAAACCAGATATTTTGGATTTCTACTTCATGGTTCCATTGTTGTCAGTATGGGTTTTGAATAGGACAGGACAGCTTACAACACACCCTGATGGTAGGTTTTGCATAATCAAGCTTGAGCTCATCTCTCAGCACTTTGTTATTGGAATGACTAGTTTTAAAGCTCTAACTTGGAAGGAACAGGTAATAATGTCAAGGACGAGGAGGAGAGTTTTGCTGTCTTTGACAGTGAACAGATGGAGCAGAGGTCTCAGGATTCCAGCCTTGATGATTTCAAGCATCTGGTGCAATGTTCCCTGACTTGTGAAGTTAGTCACTGTCCAAATAACCTCTTTCTTGACTTTGAATTCTCCCTACAAAAGAAATAGATAGCATTCTTGACATTCTCTACAGACCCAAAGAGGGACAGAAGAGTCATGCCTGTCTCATTCTATTTCCAGGGGGGCTTAATGAGATTACAAATGGAATTTACATCAACACCTTGGTGGAACCTGACTGTTTCAGTCATTTGTGAGCAGAGCTAATGGAATCTGCCTAAGATGAAGGAAAGAGAAACAGTTAGTATTGAAGACATAGCCAACTGGGCTTCAGAGGTTTACTCAAGTTGACTTTGATCTCTCTAGGAACTATGTAAAGTAGCAGAATATTAAGCTATCTGGGTAATCCATGAACTTCTTTGAATAAGAATCATCCTAAGCATTTAGGAACTTATAATGTTTGATTATCTAAATTTCTAGATCTTTCCTTGCTATTTGAGGACCTTGGGCAAGCTAGTTAACTGCCATGTAACGTAGAGACTCTTTTAACATGTATTGGGTGGCTAAGAAAAATAGAGAGGGAATGCAAGGCTGCTAAAGGGTTAAATTAATAAGTATTTTGTATTTATAGAGCACATTCCCCAGAGGGTCTTAAAATGTTTTCACCACAGAATTCTCCTTTATTTCAGTGATCCCAGGAGGTTGGTAGGAAGGGGAAGGCACTAGTCCCATTTCACAGCTAAGGAATTAAAACTTAGGTGAAGCAACTTCACTGAATCTAAGACACTAAAGTGTTCAGGCATAACCTGAAGTGGAATTTAGCTCCTCGATTTCTAATCATATCTATCTAGAGATAAAAGTAGCTCTATGGTAGGAAAAATGGTATTTAGTAGTCATGTTATTATGACAAATTGGAAGGCACCTTGTCCATTTCCAATGGATCTCTTTTGCATGGTTTTAATATAACCAAATAGTTGTCTGTTTTTTAATACGCTATTGCTCAAGATGTGCCATTTCCCTTGGGTTAGGTTTGCGTAAAACCAAAAATTTACTCTATGTCACCTCACCCTAAACAATCAATAGGAGGGAGATTTCACTTTTTAAAACATTCAGCAAATGTGGATACTGTTAAAGTATCTTTATAATCAGAGTCACTTTATAATCAGAGTGGCAAGTGAGTCATTTGTTTACTGAAGTCAGACTTTACTAATCTCAAAATTTAAGTTGTTTTTGTTTTTTTTTAATAGTGCTAGTTGAAGAGTTGAGAAGGTCCACTGGAATGGAATATTTCATATACATCAGACAGAATTGATAGGTTGACTTTGCTGAACTGCTTTGCCTCTTCTCTGTTCCAAGGGATGGCTTATTGGAGAGGTAAGGGGGAAGACTATATGTGGAAATGAAAGTTTTGTTGAAAATGAAGGGAAGCCCATTCTTTACTTTCAATTGCTAGGTTAAATTTTGTTTAAATAAAGTGGTCCCTAGCCATCCAGACAAAGACCAATCGTTGCAATCAGATCTTATTGCTGTAACTAGTAGCAGAGATAGACCAGTGCTCTATTTAAGCAAACATTTATTATCGACCAATGTCCAACACACTGTTCACCTATTCTTAAAGGAACTGATATAGTTCAGATTGTGAAAAGGAGCTCCCACCCTCTCTCCTCTCAGTCCCCACCTTCTTCTTGCCAAAGGTACCTGGGCATCCTGCTTCCATTTCTTAGCAGGGCCGCCAAGGATGACAGGTATTAAGCTGCTGAATCTGTTCACAAGATCCTGAGTTCCTGAACAGCCTCCTTCCAGACTGAGGGCCTCTGGTGATGCAGGAGATGGGGCAGCACTGTCAAGAAACCTACATCAATGGCCACCTGGGTTTGTTGATCTGTCTCAGTCACATGTTACCAACTGCATGGAGCGGGGGGATCCAGAACAACAGAGACCAGAGGTTAGCCTATGACAGTTTCTTTAGATGTTTCTAGGAGACACTTAAATGCACAAGAGTCTATTCTTCTCCCCCTCTTCTGATAAGGGCATCCTTGCTTTTCTACTCAGTATTGTATTTTCAAGCTGCTCACCAGCATGCATTGTAATTTTTATATTTGTTATTGGCTGCCCTAGAAAATAGACTAGTCATCAGAGATGAGCCGCCGGGGGACACTTGGGGGTTCACCTTTAGGACTTTGTTGCTCTTCAAACCTCTATGCCAAGGGTTCCTAACTTGAGATTCTGTGGATAGATCTCAGAAGGTCTGTAAACTTGGATGGGGGAAAAAGTTACATCTTTATACCTTTAACAGAAATTTAGCATTTCTATGAATTTAAAAAAATTTTTTTAAACATTCCAAGAAGGGCTCTACAGACTTCACCAGAATGCCAAAGGGATCCAAAACACACACAAAAAGATTAAGAACCTGTGTCATAAGTGGAAATATCCAGAAACAGAGACCCCTTAGTACTTACTAATCAGAGCAGCAGATGCAGGAACACTGTGTGTACTAAGGCCTTCTGTATCAGGTGGAAAGCAGTGAGCCTTTCAGAGTAAACAGCATAAACACTGAGGTGGACCCACAGGGTTTCCTAGTTTGGGGCATTGGCACCTGCTAAACTCAGGCTCAGAGTATCTCTAAGTGAAAGGCATGAGCATCCCACTCTTCCAACCTAGGCATCTGTCTCACAAGCATCTATTTGGGTAAGATGAAAACTACATAATAATATGAATTTATAGAACAACTAGTATTCCCAAAAAGAGGCATGGAACCAAGTGTTATTTCTACCACAATTTTACACAGCAAGTATACTTAGTAGTCTATATTTAAAAAAAATAAGAACAAGGACTTTTGGTCTTCCCAAGGGAGGAAAGGGACTTATATTAGGGAAGGATAAGAACAGGGCAACAGATGGTTTAGCAGTTACCAAAAAAACTCAAACCAATCCCGTGAAGGACTGGATCTTGTAAATCATTTAAATGTCATTTATATAGCATTTTACGTACATTATCTGGTCTGAATCTCACAATAGCTCTGTGGGGGTAAATGAAGCTACCACAATGCCTTTACATCAGAAGAGTGTAAGTATTTGCTGAATGAGTCAGTGGCAGGCTAAAAAGCCTAGAGCACTGACTATCCTAGTGAACTAGAACCTAACTTTTCACACCTACACCATGGCTTTGGAGAACAGGGAGGTTTTTTTTGTTGCTTTTTTTTTGACATTTCCTAATAAGGGTTTTCAGTGGAAAACTTAAGCACCAGAGTGGATTTACCATCATAGACAGGTATGGGCTGCTTATGAAGTAGATTAGCCTTGGAAGGACCCCAGTCTACACCACTTGGTTAATCCTCTGATTGGGACCATCAGTAAGATCCAACAGAGCCCAGCAGGCTTCTGACAGAATCTCACCATCTTGGTGTTGCAAGAGTTGGAGAAGAACTGGCAGGATCTGCTGTATTGCCTTTGCACAAGGGTATGGGTTCTTCTTCCAGCAGAGGTTGGACAAGGTCCATGTCACATTCCGCAGAAATGTAATCTACAAAGAGGTTGACAGAAGACTTCTTCAAATTTAATACCGAAAGGAAAGAATGCGCATAACAGACAAGTGAGAAAAATCCTGTTCTTTGTCATATGTCCCAGGCTCCCTCCTTTAAGTAACAATATTGATTGGCAACAGGAAGCTTCACTAATACGTCCTTGAAGGGAATGATTTGTATGACTCCTGAATGGTGGAGGGATTAACAAGATTAGTCTAACAGTCACTACTATAAATACTTAGGGGTAGCTAGGTGATCCAGTGGATAGAACACTGGGCCTGAAGTCAGGAAGACTCACATTCATGAGTTTAAATCTGGCCTTAGACACTTACTAGCTGTGTGACCGTGGGCAAGTCACTTCACCCTCTTTGTTTCAGTTTCCTCATCTGTCAAAAGAGCTGGGGGACGAAAGGGCAAACCACTCCGGTATCTATCCCAAATGGGATCACAAAGAGTCAAATGTGACTGAAAAGATTAAAGAACAACTATAAATGCTTGCTCCTCTTCCTTTCCCTTCCTCAACTACTGCTTCATGTTTGCGTGTTTGCATGCACTTTAGTATCACCAAATGCATACCTCACAACATGAGGTATGTAGTGTAAGTATTAGTGTCCCTACTTCACAGGTGAGGAAACTGAGGATCCAAAAAAGTCTACTTGTTCATAGGCTAGTAAGTGTCTGAGGTGAGATTTGAACCCAGGTCTCATGACTTCAAAGCAACAAAGAAACTTCCAATAAATAATCAGGTTGGTTTTCCTGTCTTTGTTTTTTGATTCATCAGTCCCTTTACTTGTATATGTAATCTTAATTTGACAGTAAGGATCATGGAGACTAGGAAAGGAAAGCATATGAAACAGCTGAAAGAAGCCTGGCTTTATAATCAGAGAACCTGCTTCTGTTCATTTTTCATCTCTAGTTCTAGTTGACTCCTCAAACATCATGCTCCCTACTCCTTTTCTGCTTCCTTTTGTGTATTGTCTTTCCCTCAATAGATGATAAGCTCCTTGAGGGCAGGGCCTTTTTTTTTCTTTTTCTTATTTGCATCCCCAGGGCTTATCACAGTGTCTGGCACATAGCAAGATGCTTAATAAATATTTATTGACTATTGATTGTCATTTACTACAGATGCAACATTTATTAAGCACCTACTAAGTGCCAGGTATGTGCTAGGCACTGGGGATATGAGTACAAAGAATAAAACAATCCCTACTCAAAAGGAGCTTACATTCTAATGAGACAATAAGTCTTGGGGGGGCTTAGTTTCCACATCTGTAAAATGAGAGGGTTGGACTACATGGCCTCTAAGGTCCCTTCCAGATCTAAAATTGGTGATCCTATAAGCAGAGACCACAGAGTCAAAAGTTTAAGAGTGCTCCTTGGTCGTTAAGTAGAGAGTGGAATCAATCTTTACACAGATCCCTATCCTTTACTATATGAGCAGGTCCTCGATCCAGAATATGCAAATAGTTCTATCTCAAGGGAGCTGGTCAACGACGATTCAAGCACCACCTCTCCAAGACCACCTGTCCAAAGCCCCAGTCCCAAGAAAATAAATGTTCTATGTAGAAACATTTACAGGTTTAGTAGGTGAGACCAGGGATAAGAGAGGAGTGATCACTTCACACAAGATAAAGGCATCTCTCAATTCAGGGCCATCACCTGGGTATAAAACAAGAGTGGCAAGTTGAAAGAACTAAAAGAAGGCTTCAGCAATGGCTACAACAATATAAACGGAAAGACAATCCCAAACCCATGAAAAACAAAACTAATTATAAGGAACTACATTGTCTCTAAAGAGATGAGAAAACCTCTCTACCTTCTCTTTTGGCAGAGGAGGAGGCAGAGACTATGGACATGCAACATGATCAGACTCTAACTATATCTGACGTGGTTGATGTGTTTATTGGTTGGTTTTGCTAAACTGCCCTTCTCCTTCTTACTCAAACCCTTTTAAATTCTTTGTTAGGAAGCACAGCTTTCTGGGGAGTGGAGGAAGAAGTGATACTTTTGGAAATGAAGTTGATATAAAAGCAATAGACATAAATCAAAACTTAAAATTTCAGAAGAAAAAAATGGAAAAAGCCATAAACACTAACTAATGTCGGCTAGATATTTTCACTTTTGTTGGGTCACTTCAGTAGGGTCCAACTCTTTCGCCAAGATGCTGGAGTGGTTTCCTTCTTCAACTCATTTTACAGATGAGGAACTGAGGTTAAGAGACTTGCCCAAGGTCTGAGGCCAGAGGCCAGAGGCCAGAAGCTAGATTTGAATTCAGGAAGAGGAGTCTTCCTGATTCCAAGCCCACTGCTCTATCCACTGGGCCATCTAGCTGCCTAGATATTTGCATAGGTGGGGCTAATGTAAAATACTTTATTTGACTGAATAATCTAATTTGCTCAACCCCTCATCAATATGCCCTCATCAGTGAACCAGAATTCACATTTCTCTAGAATTTTAAAGTTTGCAAAGCACTACCCATCCTACTCCCACCACAGTCTCCTGAGGTAAAGTAGTATACCCATTTTAAAGATGGGGAAATTGAGAGAAACCAAGTGACTTTTCCAGGTTTCTTTCCGAATAGTTTGCTTCCATTTAGTACTCTCCTTCCCTTTTTTGGATGGGGGGGAGGGTGTGGGGGTCGGTGGTGGTGAGGGGAGGCCAAACTCATTTCATTAGTATAAGCAGCTCTTAATGAGAAAACTCTTTCTACCAATGTATAGCAGTAGCTATTCTGCAAAATGTAGCAGAGTGTTGCCTGGAGTACTGAGAGGTTAAGTGCCCTGTTCAAGGTCACACAACCAGTATGTATCAGGGTGAAATTTGAACTCTGGTCTTATTGACTATAAGAACAGCTCTGTATCTATGTTACCATACTGCTTCTTTCTGTTTAGCTTCTTAAAAAGCAAAACAAGACAAAAGTTATTTCAGGCTACCCCTAGGGGATTCTGGAGCAGGGAAGAGAGGTGGCAAGCTGTTAGTGTTTTGCTTTTTAACAATCACACAAGAAGCTAGTAGGTGTTCATTATCAGATCTCCATGAAATTCCAGCATGACTTTGCCAGCTTTTATACTGGAGGCCTACTTTCCTCAGCCAACTGAAAGCTTTGTCTTAGCCAAGAGATTTGTCTGCCTAACCTTCCTTATGCCTCCCTAATGTAATAATCTCCTGCGTGACACAGGACAGACAGACCCTTCAGAACAACTATTTATAAAAGGTATTTGTTATACTGTCCTCAGTCAGCCAGGAAGGCAAAGCTGAAGGCTCATCTGCCATGTTCCCTAGTGCCCCCATAGCTTACTCACTGATGTGTAAGTATGGGGAAGAGAGGAGTTCAGTCAAAAGAGGGACAGCTCTGGCATCCACAATTGCCTTGGCCTGTTCAGATGTTCCCAGAGCAGTGTTTGTCAGGGCCTAGACTGCCTCAAACTGAAAGTCAGGACTATAAGACAAGCTCAGAAATGTCACCAGCTTGGGAATGAATCCCGTTTCAACAGACACTTTTAGGAGTGGGTTTCTTTTTCTAGATAACATCTTCCTGTGGAATCAAAGACAAGATTTAGGGTGAGGAAAGGCAGGAAAGAAAGATGCTTTCTTGTAGGGATATGCTTGGCATTGTTTAATAGCATATATGGCTCTGGGTCATCCACTGGAGCTCAGCCTGTGGTATCTTGTGTCGATGAAGCAACATGTTTATTTATCTCTACAAGTATTTTCTATGACATAAAATTCTTGTAGAGGCCAGTTGAGATGAAGCAATTCCTTCTCAGACATCACATGGTATCCTTGAAGTTGTGATCAAAGAGAGCCCAGAGTAGCATTCAGGTATCTCTTTGACTAGGCTGTTGCTGGTTTTTGGGCATGGAGCCATTGTCAAGAAGGGAAACAAGTTACTTATTGTAAGAGCTCAGTGTTGGGTTATGCAACAAGACAGAGGCAGAAGACTTATGTAGGCATACCTAACTGCCTGGGTGGCCTTGAAATGGAATTCTGGGTCATTTCCATTCCCAGCCTTGACTATTTCCTCCATTATAAAATTAACCTGCAACAAAAGACTGTGCTTAGATTATAAAAAGGTGATCTTTCCCCAATATGGAATGCCACGTGCCAGTTCTTTTACTATGGGCCATAGCTATTTGGATCAGAAAGATCAAATAGTTTCAAGTAAATGATTCTAGTGACATCTTAATTCCTTTCCCCTTTCCTCAATCATTGCATACTCCTAGGGTGTGTATTTTCGTTTGGACCTGTGATTTCACTGGGAGAGTTCTGGTGAGGAAACCTGCAGTGTGGACCAGCAATTTTGTCTGAAACTTCTGAACTTGTTTGAAAGGGCATTGAATGGTTAAGTGACTGTGTCCAGGGTCACAGAGCCAGTATGTGTCAGAGGTGAGACAACCTTGATAAATGTGTCAAACCTTTGCAATAAAGATTATTATAATAAATATAACATATTATAATAAGGAATAAAGATATCTGTTTGGAGAATTAATTATTAATATGCGCTACAATGGGCTTCCTTAGCCATCTTTCCTTTACAAAAGGAGGCACTGGGACATCCTGGTGAAAGTAATAATGGGCAACCTGGAAGACAGATCTTAGATCTTATGGTATAGGAAAAGACCAGTATCATCTACCTCAATGGGATATATTCTAATGTAGGTCTAGATAAACTCCAATACATTTGTTCATTCAATCAGTCAATCAATATGCATCTACTATATGCAAGGCAAAAGATTTCCAAAACTGACTTAGAGGAACAGGTAGAAAATTATGACAACAGGCTCGTCAAAAAAGGATGAGGGATTGAATAAACTAGGGTGGCAACCATGTGAATGGAGACAAGGGGACATGAAGAGATGTTGGAGGTTGAATCAAAAAACAACTGATTAAATAGGAAGGATGAATGATAGGAAAGTCCAGCATGTCTCAGAGCTCATGGATGCCTGGGAGGATTCGAATTAAATGGGAAGTTTGGCAGCATGGTGGCAGATAGAATTCCACTGTGGACCTGTTGAGTTTGAGATGCAGATGTCCTGTCCAAGAGGCTATGTTCAGTAAACAGTTGGTGATGTAAGAGAGGAGTTTAGAAGAGACATTAAGGTTGAATCTTTGGGAGTCATTAGCATAAAGATAATTGAATCTATGGGAGTGGGTGAGCTTGCCTAGAGAGAGAGTAAAGATAGAAAAAAGAAGAGGGCCTGGACAGATGAAGTATGTGTTGAGGGTTCTAACTTTTTTCTGCACCTGGTCTATCCTACTCAAGTTCCTTAAAAATACATCACCCAAGGATGTGCCAAGCAGATACAACCTTTGCTCTGTCTAGAAATACCTACTTTCACTTCTAATTTTTTTTCTATCTTAATAAACTGGACTGAACAACCAAGAAAGAAGAGGATCTTCGTTTACTTTTTTGCCTTGAGCAAGTGCAAAGCAAAAGTTTTCTGCTTCCTGTTGTCTGGCTCACAATGGCCAAAAGTCACCTCCCAAACAAAAGGCACCTCCCTAGGCCCCAAAGCCAAAGTCCCACTTTTGGGAGGAGGGGGTCTGATACAAGCACTAACTCCATGGAATTCTCTAAGTAAGCTCTGCTATAGATGTAGTACTGTTTGTTTAACAAATTTCCATTTTCATTGTGTGCATATAAGTACCATGACCCTTCCTTTCCCCTCAACCTCCCTCCCATTCTTACCTTCATTTCATACATGGACATTCCTTTAAAGTGCTGAGAATGAGAAAGTGTTAAAATAGCAACTCCCAATTAACTACAGCATCTTTGTGTTTACAAAGTACTTTTTAAAAATCTCAGTCAATGGAATATGATATTCCATAAGGCAAAGGAGCTTGGATTACAAGCAAGGATCAACTACCCATGAAAATGAGCATGATCTTTCAAGGGAGGAGATGGATGTTTAATGAAATAGGGGACTTCCATACCTTCCTGATAAAAAGACCACAGCTCATCAGAAAATTTGATCTTCAAATACAAGACTCAAGAGAGACATAAAAAGGTAAATGGAACAGAAAGAAACAACATGTTATTAATAAGGGCAAACTGTTTACATCCCTGCAGGGGAAGATGATACTTGTAAACTCTTAAGAATTGTATTGTTATTACATCATGTTAAAGGGGTATATGTGAAGGGGGTGGGTATAAATTGACTTTGATGTAATGATAAAAAAAAAAAATCTAATCAAGTGGGTTAAATGGATCCAAGTAAGTGGATTAGTCTGATCTAACTAAGAAAATGTATCGAGAGAAAAGGAAAGGAGGAGACAGACAAGATATTACAGGAAAAGGGACAAAAACCTATTAGAGCTAAGGGAAAGAAGGGAGGGAGATGAGCATTGTTTGAACCTTACTCTCAACAGATTTGGTTCAAGAAGGGAATAATAATCAGTTAGGTATAGAAATCTAACTTGCCATATAGGCAGTAGGAGGGAAAAGGGGAAAGAAAAGGGAGGGAAGATAGAAGGAAGGGAAGAAGTAGTAAGGGTAAAGGGGAAGAAAAGGGAGGGGGCTAATAGAAGGGAGGTGGGACTGAGGGAGGCGGTGGTCAAAAGCAAAACCCTAGTGAGAAGGGAAAAGGAGAAAGAAAAGCATAAACGAGGAAAAAGGATGGAGAGAAAGACACAGACAGTAATCATAAATACTATTGTGCTATAAGAAATGATGAATAGGCAGACTTCAGAAAAACCTAGAAAGACTTGTATGGTCTGATGCTGAGTGAAGTGAACAGAACCAGGAGAACGTTATACACAGTAACAGCCATGTTGTGCGATGACTAATATTGATAGACTTAACCCTTCTCAGCAATACAAGGATCTAAGGCCTCATGATGGAAAATGCTATCCACATCAAAAAAAAGAACTATGAAGTCTGAATGCAGATCAAAGCATACCATTTACTATTTTTTTTTCTTCTGTTGCGTTTTGTTTCCTCTTTCTGGTGGTTCTTCCTGTTGGTTCTAATTCTTACTTACAACATCACTAATGTGGAAATATGTTTAATGGGATTGTGTATGTATAGCCTGTATCAGATTGTGTGCCAGCTTGGGAAAGGAGGTGGGGAGGGAGGGGGAGAAAAATTTGAAACTCAAAAGTTTATGGAAGTGATTGTTGATAAACCAAAATAAATTAATTAAAATTTAAAAAATTAAAAAAAAAAACTCAGTCAAGGGGCAACTAGGTGGCGCAGTAGATAGAGCATCAGCTCTGGAGTCAGGAGGACCTGAGTTCAAATCTAGACAAGTCACTTAATCCCAATTGCCTCACCAAAAAAATAAATAAATAAATAAATAAATAAATCAAGACTTTAGAAAAAGGGGGAAACTCTGGGTCTTAAAAAAAAACCCTCAAGTAGATAGTACAAATATTATTTCCATTTTACAAATGACAAAACCAAGGCTTAAAGACATTGCCCAAGGTCAAACAGCTAAATATATGTATGACTATCCCTATTTTTAAACTGAAAATAAGGACAGTATGGCACAATGGGTCAAGAAATGGGATTGGTTTTAGAAGATTTGGGTTTTAATTCTGCTTCAGACATTTAGTATCTGTGTGACCCTAAGCAAGTCCCTTCAAATGTATGAACTTTGGCTCCCTCATCAGTAAAATGCAGGTGAAAATAATAGTATGTGCTTCACAGGGCTAATGAAGGGTTCAAAGTGGGCAATGCATATAAAGCACATTGCAAACCTTAAAGCACTATATGAATGTGAATTATCATCATCATTAGCACAAGAGTCAGGACTCTCATCTAAGTCTTCTGATCTCAGGTCCAGAGATGGTTATATTTATCCTCTGAGTTGGGGTAACTTGCCAGAAGTACATTTCACATCTTTCAACTCACCTCAACAGCCAGTTTCTCATAAAGAAATGATTGAAGGGTATTAAACATATTCCTCCTTTTTTAAAAGATCTGTTCCTCTTTCTTTGCCTTCCAAAGTTCCACACTGACCACTATTCTTTTTGCCTCTTCAGTTAATTAGAAATAAAATCCACAAGAGGGAACTCCATGTCACCCTTATGATTTGCAAAGTTGAAAAAAGAAAAGTCAAGTTTATCTAACTTACTGAAATGTGTAATTCCATGGGAATAATTTACTTAGGACTCTTAGGCTTACAAAGAGCTTCCTTCACAATAAAGCTAGTCATCAATGTCCTTATTTTACAGATCAGGAAACTGACTCACAGAGATTAAGAGACTTGACCAAGGTCACATAGCTAGGACAATTAGAGCCAGGACCTTAATTCAGATCTGTTAAACTCCAACATCAGTAGTGTTCTTTCCAATCTCTTTTTCCCAAAACAAAGGGGGAAAACCCCCTGAATCTTCTCAGAATAAAAGAGTATATGAAAAAGAGTATATTTTTAGAATTAGATAACATGACAAATATAAATACAAATATTATAATAAATAATAAAACAATGTATAATATAATAGTAATATATTAATAAAAATAATGAACACTAGCATGACAAATAAATGTAATTATAAAATAATATATTTATATAAATACACATCTATTCATTTCAATAACTCAGAGGATCTGATTACTTTGAGTCAAATAGCTCTTAAACAGAAGTTGTTCAAACCCATTTGAGGAACACGGCTAAATTTGTGATTGGAAATAGGAAAGATGACCAGATAGAATCTCAGAGGATGCAGAGAGAGGTTCCTGAGATGAGCAAACAGACTTGACACTCCAGGCTATGTGTTATAGTTACCAACATCACAATGTGGTGTCCAGATCAGAGATTCACAGAAATAATTACGACCCAGGGCTAGTGTTCATAACTACCACCAATGACAGGAGCAAACTTATTTTAATTTAGCTTCATAGCTTTTTTTTTTCTTTTCTTATTCCAACTTTGTTACTCATTCCAGCCTTCAGGATATGTATGCCCTTTTTTTCAGGATTTAAATTTTTTTCTTTTATTATTTAATTTGTTAAAAATGCTGAACTTAACTAATACCAAATAAAATGAACATTTCCATATGCAAAGTAGAACAGAAAAAGGAGATTGTATATGAAGCTATAGATTAGTATTATAAATAACTTGCTTTTTTCGGGGGGGGCTAGGCAATGGGGTTAAATGACTTGCCCAGGGTCACTCGGCTAGTAAGTGTTATGTGTCTGAGGCTGGATTTGAACTCAGGCCCTTCTGAATCCAGGGCCAGTGCTCTATCCACTACACCACCTAGCTGCTCCCTTGCTTTTCTTTTTAAGTCTATCTGTTATTTTCAAAGCTGTCCCACTTGTCAGATATTTTCTGATAGAAGACACCCATGTCATTTTCAGCCAACTTTGATATAATTATGTCAGTGTTGGCCTTAAAATGATTATTTGGTCCTATGAGCTTATTCTGGTCAATTACTTCTTTTTGAAGAGGAAGGGAAGGGATCTCTTCCCTCCCATATTAAAAATATGGAATACTGAACATAATGTAAACTTTTCTTGATGAAGAAAGGGCATTATAATGAACAGTATTTCTTTTGTTGTGATTCAACAATGCCCTTGTTGTTCTATACGTGAAAACTTTATAGAACTGTTTGTTCCTATAGTACATGGCCCTAGATTACTGTGCTTTTTCAGTCCTTTTGCTGTAATAAGTACTTGTTGAAGAATATTGTTTTAAGAAGAACTTTGAGTAACTAAGTAATTTAGATTATTAAAAATAACCAGATTAACTACAGACACAAAGGAACATACTATTTGAATCCAGAGAAAGAATTGATAAATAGAAGTATGTATAGAATGGTTGTACATAATAGATTTACAGGTTTCATGTACAAGAAGAAAATAACTCTTTAAAAAATGAAATTGACCAGATGGAAAAGGAAGTACAAAAGCTCACTGAAGAAAATAATTTCTTAAAAATTAGAATTGAACAAGTGGAAACTAATGACTCCATGAGACATCAAGATATAATAAAACAAAATTTTAAAAATTTAAAAACAGAAGAAAATATGAAATTTCTCATTGGAAAAACAACTGACCTGGAAAATAGATCCAGGGGAGATAATTTAAGAATTATTGTGGGCAGCTAGGTGGCACAGTGGATAGAGCATCGGCTCTGATTCAGGAAGACCTGAGTTCAAATCCGGCCTCAGACACATAACACTTACTAGCTGTGTGATCCTGAGCAAGTCACTTAACCCCCATTGCCCCCCACCAAAAATAAATAAAATTATTGGACTACCTGAAGGTATAATAAAAATAAAAAGCCTGGGCAACATCTTTCAAGAAGTTAGCAAGGAAAACTGCTCTGATATCCTAGAACTAGAGGGAAAATAGAAATTGAAAGAATTTGCCAGTCACCACCTGAAAGAGATCTCAAAGTGAAAACTCCTAGGAACATTGTAGCCAAATTCCAGAGGTTCCAGGTCAAGGAGAAAGTACTTCAAGGAGCCAAAAAGAAACAATTCAAGTATAGTGGTACTATAGTTAGGATTCACAGGATTTGGCAACTCCCTTAGTAAAGAACCAGAGGGCTTAGAATATGATATTCCAGAAGGCAAAGGATTTAGGGTTATAACCAAGAATGACCTACCCAGCAAAACTGAATATAATCCTTCAGGAGAAAAAAATGTATATTTAACAAAATAGAGGACTTCAAGCATTCCTAATTAAAAGGCCAAAGTTGAATAAAAAAATTTGATCTCCGAATACAAGACTCAAGGGAAACATAAAAAGGTAAAAAAAGAAACAAGAAAGAGATTCAATAAGGTTAAACTGTTTACATTTTTGTATGTCAAGATAATATTTGTAATTATTAAGAATTTTATTACTATAAGGGCAATTAGAAGGAGTATACATAGACAGAGGGTGCGGATATAAGGTGACTTTGATGGGATGATGCCCCCAAAAAATAAAATAAATGGATGAGAAAGAAGATTACACTGGAAGAAGTGAAGTGTGGTGTGGTGGAAATAGAATGGGGTAAATTAGCTCACATAAAGGAGGCATGAAAAAAGCTATTATAATGAAGGAAAGATGGAAAGGGCGGTGGGCAAAGCTTAAACCTTTCATCAGAATTGGCTTAAAGAGGGAATTGGCTCAAAGTTGAATACAGAAATCTGTCTTACCCTATAAAGAAGTAAAAAGGGACTGGGATAAAAGAAGGGAGGTAGGGGAGGACTGACAGAAGGGAGATTGGGGGAGATGGTAATTAGAAGTAGAAGACTTGTGAGAAGGAACAGGATGGAGGGTGAGAGAGGGATAAACAAAGGCAAAAATAGCATGGAGGGAAATACAGTTAGTTACTATAACTATAAATGCAAATGGGATGAGCTCACCAATGAAACAGGAGCAGTTAGCAATATGAATTAAAAACCAGAATCCTACAAATATAGAGACACATATAGAGTAAAGATGAGGGCCTGGAGCAGAATATATTCTGCCTCAGCTGAAGTAAAAAAAAAAAAAAAAAAAGGGATAGCAATTATATCAGACAAAACAGAAACAAAAATAAATCTAATTAAAAAAGGTAAGGATGAAGTCATATCAATACTAAACATATATGCACCAAATGGTATAGCATCTAAATTTTTGAAGGAGAAGCTGAATAAGTTACAGGACAAAATTGATAATAAAACTATTCCCTTTCAGAACTAGTTAAGTCTAACTAGTTAGAAGTTAAGGAAGTGAATAAAATTCTGGAAAAATTAGATATATCTCTGGAGAAAATTGAATGGGAATAGAAAGCAATATATCATTTTCTCCACAACACATGTCACCTATACAAAAATTGATTACGTATTAGAACATTAAAAACCTCACAATCAAATGCAGAAAAGCAGAAAGAGTAAATACATCCTTTTCAGATCATATTGCAATAAAAATCACATTAAATAATGGGCAATAGAAAAATAGATTAAAATTAATTGGAAACTAAATAATCTAATCCTCAAAAATACATGGGTCAAAGAACAAATCATAGAAACAATTGATAATTTCATTAAAGAAAATGACAATGAGACAACATACCAAAACTTATGGGATGCAGCTAACATGGTACTTACGGGAAAATTTATATCTCTAAATGCTTACATCAACAAAATAGAGAAAGAGCAAATCAATGAATTGGGCATGCAACTAAAAAAATGGAAAAAGAACAAATTAAAAATCCTCAATTAAACACCAAATTAGAAATCTTGAAAATCAAAGAAGTCATTAATAAAATTGAAAGTAACAAAACCATTAACTAATAAAACTAGAAGATGGTTTTATGAAAAAAACCTAATAAAATAGAAAAACCATTGGTTAATTTGATTTAAAAAAAAAAAGGAAAGAAGAAAAACCAAATTACCAGTATCAAAAATGAAAGGGGGTGAATTCACCACCAATGAAGAGGAAATTAAAACAATTGTTAGGAGCTATTTTGCCCAATTATATGCCAATAAATTTGACAATCTAAAGGAAATGGATGAATATCTACAAAAATATAAATTATGCAGATTAATAGAAGAAGAAAGAGAATACTTAAATAACCCTATCTTAGAAAAATAAATTGAACAATCTATCAATGAACTTCCTAAGAAAAATTCCCCAGGGCCAGATGGATTCACAAGTGAATTCTACCAAACATTTAAAGAATAATTGGTTCCAATACTTTATAGACTATTTGAAAAACTAAGCACAGTAGGAGTCCTACCAAATTCCTTTTATGACACAAATATGGTACTGATACATAAACCAAGAAGAGCCAAAACAGAGAAAGAAAATTATAGACCAATTTCTCTACTGAATTTTGATGTAAAAATTTAAATAAAATACTAGCAAGAAGATTATAGCAATATATGTCAAGAATCATACACTATGACCAGGTGGGATTTATACCAATAATGCAAGGCTGCTTCAATATTAGGAAAACTATCAGCATAATTGACCATATCAATAACAAAACCAACAGAAATCATGATTATCTCTATAGATACAGAAATAGCCTTTGACAAAATACAACATCCATTCC